TTAAAAATTGTCATCATCATCATCAGAGAATTCAGAAGATTCAAATTTCTCAGTTGTTAGTATATGATCGGTATTATGTGCAAGGTTGTCAACGAGCTCATCAAAAATAAATTCTAAATTCCAAAAATTCTCTTCCTCCTTCTTGACATGATCAATACACAATTTCCAATCTTCACTTTTGACTCTGTCCAAATCTTTATGTAACAGGTGTTTGACGTCCTCTGGTTTGAAAGTTGTATTGTTGGCTTTAACTTAGCCTTTTACCATTGACCGACCCAGCTCAATGGGGTTCAACACGCACTGGTAAGGAGGGAGCATGAGAATAATTTTATTTACCTTCTTAGCTATTTCGTCGCTGACATACGAATTGAACCTAGAAAATAACAATTATTGAAAACTTTTTTTTTAAAATTATTTTAAATATATTACCTTGGCCTAAGACATTTAACAATATGCATCAAGTCAAATTTTGCCATTTTCTAAGGATCGATATTTTCGCCTTTTAATATAAGCCAATCGACAATTAATTGTTTTTTCCATGTCAATGTTGTTATTTTTTTGGATTTTACTGAATGGTAGGGCGCGTTATCCATCACAATAACGGCATTATTTTCAAGAAGTGGCTTCACTTCTTCGAACCAATCTTGAAAAATTGTATCGTTCATTTTGTTATGGTAGTCACTTGTGTTCTTTTTCGATTTGAAGCACAAGAGACCACCTCGTACAAAACCGTTGTCTGAACCGATATGCAGTATAATCAACCTTTTTCCTTTATTCGTAGGATTAGAAGGCCCGGTTGATAGTCCTTCCAGGAAGGCCTGTCTGTGAGACTTAACGGTTTCATCGACTCACACCTTACCAACACAATCACCAGTATTCAGCCAGGTTTCATCTAAATAGTAAACTATTCTTCCTTCTTCTCTAAACTGTTTGATTGTTATCAAATATATTTGACGCCATGTAATAAGGTCTATTCTTTCAGTAAGAATGCTATTCCTATTCCTTTTATAGAATTTGAAATTCAAACTCTTGAGTATTTTCCTTAAAGACTCGCGTTTGAAATATTGACAGTTATCAATATTTTAAAAATCGTCAGCATTTCTTTATTGAATCAAAATTGATGCACTTTACGGCGTATGGCATTTTTGTCAAATTCATCCACTTTATCACAGATTCCTTGGCGGTTTTTTTTACGAATTGATGATGTCAACAATGTATTGCTTTTGTATTCGGATACCGTTATACGAACACGATTTACTCTAATTCTCAGGTTTTTAGAAATTAACTCTATCAATCCTTATATTTCATACTAGACACCTCAGACTTTATTGACTTATACTAATTTACAATCATTTATTTTTGAGCACTGTTGATTAACTAAAATAATAGTATTGTTAGTTGGTAAATTAATATTATTTTACCAATATTTTCTATTATTTAAATAAATAATACAAAATAAATAATTTTTTAATTTGTAATATAATATATTTATAATATATTCATTATACTTACTTTTCCTGACGGAATTTTTTTCACTGGTGATGGAAATTGATTATTGTCCATGATGAAAATCACAAATACAATTAACAGTTAACAAAAAAAATAATTTGAAACTAAAAAATTCACGTACAAAAACAAACGTTCGACGTCGACTACAACACGGTGTATGATATTATTGTTCGGTGCGTAACTGTATAAGCAAATGTTTTTGTAACTATTAAAAACCGATCAGCCTATCACATATGTGCGATAACTGTTTGTGAATTTCGGGACGGGGGAACTGATCGAAACGAACGAAAACGTGTTGGCCACCCGGTCATCGTATTAACGTGGTCGGAGTATAATATAGTAAATTTTCTAATTGTTAATTGTTTGTTTATTATATTATATATAAAGATAGATGTATGATTACCAGAGATTGAGAGATGGTGACTTTGTGGTTGATAACAGTTATAGTTACTTAACCTTTAAATCATGTTTTTGTTGTTATTATATCATTATTACTATTGTGCATAAGTTGTACCACTCTAAATAAATTTCTGTAAACCTTTTCTAAATAAATAATTTATGGTCAACACAATCTTTGTTAATTTCAATCCATGTTTTTCTTTGTTCATAATTATTTGTTTATTTTATTAAATTATGCCGGATTTTTTTTTTTTATATTTTAGGTTTTTAAAATTTTCCTCAGAAATATTTAAAACTTTATTTATAATATTATTAAATTATTTTGTTTATTATTAAATTGTTTTTTCGCCGTTTTAAGTCCTAAGTTAAATGATGAATAATTTGTATTTATAATCAGGATTTGTTTTTATCGTTTACAATTTTTCTACATCCAATTGACCTTTGCAATGTTGACAATAAAATGTTTGTATGCATTTATATGCTAGACATCCAGTGATATAAATCACAGAACAATCTTCTAATACGACTGATATCGTATTTGTCATGCCTTCTCGAACTAATATATTTTCTGCATCTATACTGTATCTGAATTCTGAACTAGAATCTGAAGCTTTTTTATTTTCCATATAGTTTGATAATTGTTCTTTCTCCAATAAAATTGGCCCTTGTTCTACTGATTCGCCACATGTGTTGTCAATTATACAGGCTGTTCTACGAAAATATACTCCTTAAATATCTCCAGAGGTAATAAAGATAATCAAATTCTGTTTTTTTTTTAAATATATTACTCACGGATATGAGGACTACGAATATTGCGTAACGTGGTTAGGCTATTCCCTAGATAACATAAGAATTTAATAGAGCTATTACTTAGAAACTATTCATCGGATATAACTGTGTGATACATTAAAATTTTCAGAAAAATAAATTTTAAAGAATTTCCAAAAATAATAAAATAAAAAGTTATTTTTTTAATAAAAAAAGTTAATTCAAACATAAATATTTGTAGTAATCATCCCTGTGAATAATATAAAAAACAGAATTTAATTATCTTTATTATCTCCGGAGATATTCAAAGGGTAGATCTTCATCGGACAACTTATATTTTTAAAATTTGTCCCTTCAGAAATGCACAGTGAAAAAATACAAGTACTTATAATTGACGTCCTGATCGTTCTTTCAGTAGGATACCTATTATAGCCACCTTTTTGTAGCATAATGGTAAATATATTTTCAAATGAATCCTGGTTTAACTGATAAGTCAATATAAATTTGAAGTCATTATTATTTAACTTTTCTTCTTCTTCAAAAAAAAAAAATTTCTCCTATTGTTTGCGTAATGCCTTTAAAATATGGAGGTTGAGTTATTTTTTAAGTAATTTGACAACTCCGTACGGCGTGAACACATTTATGATAACGCATAATTTATTATTGGTTCTGTAGTCACACTGCTCAGCCGTGGTTGCCAGCCACCACTTTCCCCTTTACCTACCTATGGCGAGGCTAACACCTCAATTGCCAGCGGCTACCGACAGTGCTTCTTAGTGGCGGCCACCCATTAACTGTTACCAGTTTCTTCCCTAGCACGGCTTATTTGTATATTATAAAACCAATGGTACTACTGATCTTCATCATAGTTATCTACCATTCGAAATCGTATCTAAATCCCTTAAGTGGCTTTGGAAATTAAGTGGTTCTCAAACAAAAAATGTGACAAAGGATTTTGTTTTGCATAAAGATAGATAATCGAATTTAAAATATATTTCAAACTCAACCACGTCAGCTAATGTATCTAATTACCTATAATATAAAACTTTAAAAAAGTATTATATATATTTAATATCAACTAACCTGATAAATTCACTGTATTATTGCTTGGAATGATGAAAAATATAAACGCCTCGCCTTTCTGGTGCAAGGATGAGTTGTATTCGGCTATCGACTTGATTATATTGAATATTAATATTGCACTGCGCAGGTAATATGACGTAATTGAATTGTATATACGTTTGTAGGTAGGTAATTAAACTAATTTTTCATTTAGGAAAAATTAAATCAAATCAAATTATCATTCATAAACTATTAAAAATAATAGTATAGTTAGATCCGCACAGATGGCTATAACAAAATAGCACACAAATAAAAAAACATATCAAGGACAACAAACACAGAACTGTATGCGTGCACGGGCGTTTGAAGAATGAATGCAGTGTAAGCCCTATCAGAGACCTATACTTATAAAATGCTTTCAGAGACCGCCACGAAACGACCTCGCTCGATAGTAACCATAGAAACTGTTTAACATTAAATCAATAACTCCATGAACGTTAGTCAAGAGCCATACGAGGTATACGCGGAGATTTTGGGAGGGCTCTTGACTAACGTCTTCCCATTATATATTATACGATAAACCTGCATCATATAGTTTATTTTCTTATAAATATAGTTGTAAAATAGGTATAATACTATTTAATATTAAAATTACTTTTACATTTTCTGATAAAGCGTCAAAAATTTAAATGATGTAAGTTTGCAAGAATAGTTTGTTGAACACCCATTAATGAATCACTAGATTTATCATACTCCACTACAAATTATTTAATTTCACAATAAAAATCAAGTTAACATTTTTTAGACTTATCTGAGATATATTTTGGGCAAATTAATGTTATGAAGTTAGTTAGGTCAGATTCCAATTTAAATGCAGTAACTATATAGAACACATTCCGAAAAATTAAAAATGTTGATCAAATTGTTTAGATATCAAAATAATTAATCAAACAAAAATTGCAACTAAACATACATTTTAAACATGATTTAAGAAGGAAAATGACTGTGACTTTCATTATAGTTTATAATTAATTGGTCTTCGTATTATTTTAAAATTAGATTTGTATTTTATTTATAGTATTAATGATTAATTTTTATTGATATATTTTTGAGTGTTAACCTCTGAAACAATTTGCTGTTTTTTTTTCATATAATATTGGATATTTCCTATTAAAATTATTATTATACTCCTAACTTTTCGGTATTTATTAATTGTATATATATATATATATATATATATGGTAAAACATTAATGTTAATCAAATTATTAATTTTTTCAACGATAAACTATTGCTGGATTTCTTTCTTTGGGACCGTTGAAGCTCACGTCTATGAAAATAAACCATGAACCATCGAAGAACATAAGAATGAAATTCGTCGTGTTATTGGTGATCTGTAAAAGAATATATGTCATCGATTGATAAACAAAATGATAGGCTTAACTAACCAATAATATTACTTTTTATATGGACGCATACTAGTCACCTCTGGAGGTCAAAAAGGTCGATAATTTTAATACGAATCTTCTCCCGGATATATATTATACTAGTCGCCTCCCGGAGTACCCTAAACTATATTGTTAACGAAAAGGGTCTAATACTTGTAGCCTCTCAATATACAGGTAATAAATTAATAAGTGGTTCATAAACGATTCAAACATTTTCAAACAGCATGCATCAATATATAAAATAATAATAAGTAAAGGATTTAATTGATATTGCAACTTTTTTTGCAATAAAGATAAACCAGATCTGATTAAATATATAGCCGATATATACTAAAAATATTCTGCCTATTTAATATTATATTACAACTTTTTTCAATTATTGACGTTTTTGCAATTTGTTGCAATTATCCTGTTTTTAAATCATAGGCATTAATCGTTCGTCTGGAATTTTCTAGAACCTTGGAGAGCCCAGCGAACGATAAGTGTCTATGTATATGGTGGCACCATCGAGAATAAATAAATACAGAAAAAAAATGCCGAGTATACCTTTACCACCTGAACCTATTATTACAAGATGGGGAACATGGTTAAATGCTGCACTTTTCTATGAAAATAATTTTGAAGAGTTTAAAAACGTGATTGAAAATTTAATAGATGCTACAAGTGTCAAAAAGCTGAAACAGCTTGTGCAAAATAATACAGTCAAATGTGGTTTAGTATTAATAAAATTACACTTATCAGAGTTATCCATGAATCTTAAAAATTTGGAAAAATTTAATAATGAACTACTGAAAAGCATGGATATTTTTAAAAAAATTGAAGATATTTTAACAAATATTCCTAGCTCAAATAAAACTTTATAAAGGGTATAAAACTTTAAAGTTTTACTATGAAGTCATGTCAGGTAAATCAAATATTAATTTAAATACAACGCCTACTTTATTAAATTGTTTTAAATATGCACCAATAACTAGTGTAGACGTAGAACGTATTTTTTCTTTGTACAAGCATATTTTAAGTAATAAAATAATTAAATTTAATAAAAATAATTTAGAAATGTACCTAATTATCAATTTTAATTTTAAAAAATAACATTTATCTAATTTTTTTAATATAATTTTTACATTTTTATAGTGCAATTTATTATGCAATTTTTACGTATTTTTTGGTGCAATTATATAATTTTAATATGTAATTTTTGTGTGTTTTAAATGCAATTAAATCCAGTCTTTAATAATAAGATAACAACATTTGAAGACTATTTAGTCGATACATAATATAATATATCAGTGGATTCAATTTTCCCTTTTCATTTATGAGCAGAAATAAGTTCCAACATTAAGTGCACAACCCAAGCATGTGAATCTTTTCATAGCAAACTTAATAGCTATTTTTAGTCTCCCCATTCTAATATATTTTAATTTATTCGAGTATTAAAATTAATTCAGATCAAGACTGTAATTTTAATACCAAGTTCAAATAAGCCTAAAACACATGCACGATTACGAAATCTTGTACAACCTGGTAGTACATGTAACACTTATTAAACGGTTCATTTAAAGATAAATGAAGGTTGTCCAATAAAATATCCTATCTTTGGATGGAACTAGAAAAAAAACATTTTTGTATTATTCCAAAAAATGTTTCTATGAATGAATAAAATCTGTTAATATATCCAGTTATTATTTGGTAATTTGGTGCTCCCCGATCATGACTTCCGGAGCAAATGTCCCTGTTCGTCCCCCTCCCACTAGACCTGGCCCTGCTTATCCTTAATCGCTAATCATAACGAAAATTAATATTGTTTACCTATTTGACAAATGTTTACTCTTGAAAATAGTAATTATAGGTAGGTAGACCTATAAGTACAAAAATATAAATACAATCGAACGAAGTCTTTGAGAAACGGTTGCTTCTCGAATTTAATTAAGATTTAGAGGTGGGTGAGTTCTCAATATGAAGGTAATTAATTATTAGTACCTACTCGTTAACTACATATTTAATAAGAATACTGGAAAATATTGTAATGTATCGGAAATATTGGTAGATTAATACATTTGTGTTTCGCCACTGGATGCAAGTACTTCATTTTGTACAGGCAAATTTACATCACTGCTAGTCTGCGAATATACGAATATTATAGTCATCATATTTTATAATACCGACTATAATCAATACTATTACTTAAAATTAAAATAACTATATAGGTAAAATATTACATAAGTTGCTTTCCCTCGATACCTTAGTCTCGACCAATCTCAAGTCAACTTCGGGTACACATGCACCAAGTGTGGGCACGTAACAATGTGAAATATGTACCTTCAAGTGCGGATTTTTTTTTTATAGGATCTTTATAGAAATAATTTAACTATGCAAATTTCTTATGGTCGGAATTATTTTTCGCTAGATTGTTATTCGTCGGTGTTTTATTCGTCAGACTTTATTTTGGCTCGATTTTTTCACAGCAATTTTTCTCCTCCGAGTTTTATTTAGCGAATCTTCCAAGCTACAAGGCGTGGTCGGCATCGCACTGCGCAGGTTCATGTTACCACCTTTATTGATTAGTGTGTATTTTGCAGGAAGGTGGCCGGGCCGTCGTTGTCGTGGCAACAGTTGGCGTATTGCCATATTCGACGACTTAAAAAGTTTACAATTTAAATGGATTGAGTGATTAATTTAATCAAAAAGTCGAATAGAATATACAATAGCGTAACTGTAGAGACTTGGGGGGGGGTCTAAAATCAAATACAAATTGTTGTCCCTTCTCGAAAACCTAAATAGTTTTGGACAACCCAATCGTACTAAATTACTTAAAATACTAGAGTCAAGCAAAGGAGTCGTAAATCAGAAACTAACTTATCTCAAAAATAAAATACACCAATAAACAAATTTCATGTTAAATCAAAAAAAGTTATACGAGTCATAGTAAATACATATTAGTTAATAGAAGAAACAGGCACAGTATATTTTATTATAATATTTATTTTCATTTCAGATAATAATAACAATAAACATTTTTAAACACGCCAGTAAAACTGTTAGTTCTAAGACTGGAAAAAAAAATATTGTTAATAGTTAAATATCTATGAGACGGAATTCAGAGGCTACTGTTTCGCTAGCAGGCCGGATTTCAAAGTTAAATGTCCCACTCTATGCTGACGGAATTCAGCAACTGTGGGGTTAGGATAAAAATATTTTTTATCGAAAATAAAATAGCTTAATAGCTTCAGTAGTTTAATGTTTGTAGTATACATAGTTAAGATAAAAAAAAGCAATTGACAGCTTGTTGTCTTTAAGTAACTTGTTATACCTAAGGTCATAATTAACTTAAACTAATTTATACCTGAATAATAATTATTTCATGATTTTGCTTTTATTTATGGAATAGTATTAACATAGTAACATAATAATATGATGTTAGGTATGATTTTGATTTTCTCTGTAGTTTTCATAATAATTAAGAAAACGGGATAAAAACATAAAATGATAACTGATTAATTTAAGACGTTATGACTTCATTATTTTAAATTGGTACGTACGATATTTTCTACCAAAAAATATTACACCAGAAACAAACAACAAGATACTTTTTTTGTTGTATTTTTAATCTAGTTGGTGAGTAAGAAAGTAGGTTTTTTGATTTTCCCTGCACTTAATAATATAGAACAATTACAATAGAAAATAGAAACAACAGGAAAATGTACAGAAATTATATTTTATTAATTTCAATATTGTTTTTTTGTTGTAGTTTAATTAAAAAAATTCGTAGACACTTGAAATTTAGACAAAAGCTTACATTTGCTTTATCTAGAGGTGGTAAAGTTTTCAAAATATTTCAGCTATTTGTAAACATTTTAATTTTGCGAGATTTGTACGTAATTTTTGTGCGGTAGGTAGGTAGTAGGTACCTACTCTGTGGATTTAACAAACTACACAGAAAAGCTTGAAAATTTAACAGGAGGTTTGTTATAAGTCGCACTTGGTGATTAAAAAAAAATTTAGTGTATCTAGTGTTGTATTTTTTTTTTATATATATAAAAGTTTTAATACCTATCAAATTTTGACGAAAATCGTGAATATTACGGCCTCTTATAACCGAACTTCACTCCGAATTGTATTCGTTAGTAATGGTGAATCGTTACTTACAGATATAAATTAAGTAACTTAATGTATTCTATCTTCCCAACTTCTCACAGTAGCACATCCGTCCACAGTATCAACTCTTTTTTGAAATAACGAATTTAAATAGGATGGTACTGTAATTGTGTGTATTGTAGTAGCGTATTCGTTTAATATTATTATGAAAAACTTTAAGCCAGTATCCCTCACCCACTGAAAAATCTAAATCCGCTAGTAGGTATATCATATTATCAACTATCTAGTTTATACTACGGTCTTAATATATAGTTAAATATTATTACATCTAGCATAAACAAAAATATTAAGTATCTGGTTCTGGTTTGGTGCTGCGCTCTATTGATAATTTTTTACTTCGACGTAATATTACTACACTTATTTCCACAAATAGAGCGCGCCATCATGCTGAAACTCTAACAATAACAGTACACATTTTACAATGGTTTTATAAGTACGATTTCTTTTTAGCCGTATTTTTATGTAGCAGTTTTAAGGGGCCTTAATATCTTATAAATGAAAAATACAAAGGCCGTTGAAATCAGTTCGATAGTGTGAGGAACTCGGTGTAATCGGTCGATAATAATTATAAAAAATAAAAACGCATTTCGTGGCAATAAGAGACACGGACAGGTGTATATCTACCACAGTAGGTATACACCTAATAATTACATTATTATTACATATTATACCTACTACACTATTACACTACTACATATTATTATTAATTACCTTCAATATATTATTGATAATTTATTATTTTAAATTATATCTTGCTTACAAAAAGCTACAGATAAACAAAGTTCTTAATAATTGCTTATTGTGGTTATGGTATGTGAAAGAAAAGGAATTTTTATTCATTGTGATAAGATTAAATTCATTGTATAAGTTCTTTAAATCCAGACATTAATGGAAAATTGTTTTTTGTCTAAAAAGATCTTACAGGTTTCAAGACAAATTCTCGATTCTACAAGTATGAAATACCATCAAATCAGTAAAGGTGTGCTATGTTAGTAATTGATATTACTATTGCTGGTTATTATAAAAATTATTTACCTATTACCTACTTATACATTTTACATGCATTTTACATGACGTTTAACTGAATTAAAATTGAAATTTTAGAGTTTATTACATCTTAAAATTGTAATTTCTTGTTATTCTTTTACATTATTTTACATATTTTCCCCTCTTCAATTGTCCGCACATTAACAAAAAATAGTCAAATTATACAAGAAAGCAAAAACAGTTTTTATTATCATTATTATTATTTCGTTCAAAATATCTATCACTTATTATTGTACACGATTTACAATGTTCCTGTAATACTTATTTTTCATTAACTGAAATATTTATAACAAGGGCAAAGGGCTTGTAGTATTTGCATATTTCTTTTTACATCATTAAAAAAAAAAGCAGAATAAGAAATTAATAGGCTTTACAAGACAAAACTAGAATCAAAATTGTATTTTGCATATTAATATATTTTTGATGAATATGTTCAATAATCAAATACGAAATTAACAAGTCTAAATTCCTTAATTTGATTGGATTTCCAAAATCCCCTCCTGTGTACGTCTCTATAAATGACCTTATGTTTTTGAAGAAGTATAAAAAAATATCAAAATCGTATGATTATTATTATTATGATTTTAATTTTAGGCTAGAGTACTAAAACATGAGCTTCCTGGTCGTCCATTAGAAGTATTAATGTGTTCTATATTGAAACATCATGGTTATCAAGAAGGGTTCAGATGGCTGGCACAATATATTGATTATTGTTTATATATGTATTTTAAAAATTCGTTTTACTGTTTTTGTCCATTGGTAATGTCTACAATTTAATGTAAACAAAAAAAAAAAAGACTAAATTTGTAATCAAATAATTTTTGTAAACAAAATATAAATTCTCGTATTGAGAATTTTGCCAAAGTAACACTTATTTTCAATTAATACTACATGGTTTTTTTTCTTTGTATGTTAAATAAACAATAATAAACAAAAAATATTATTATAAATTAAGTGTTCATAATATGTAATAAGAAAACATTTTAAGTATCAAAAATAAAGAAAAACAAATATTATACTATTTTAACTTACAATTCAATAAATAAGTCTAATTAAAATAATATTTTACTTATGAGCTTGATCCAGCATATTGCATAATGCCATTTGTAGTGTCTCATATTTGAGAATTTGTTCATCCTTTATGGATGTAGGTATTTACTCACGGAATGCTTCATTATTTTGTACAAAATGATCCATTTATTTTTTAGAATAGATATTCTCATTATTTCAAAAGTAGGTAATCACGGTTTTAAGATAAATTTGGTTTGACAATTAAAGAAACCTACAGCTCTAAAATTTGTAGTATTATTTTTGGACATAATATATCAGTTTTAAATTTTGGGTAGGGGAAAATAGTGGAGAACTATTCAAACATCACACAGCGTTCTGCCACACAAATAATGCTCCATTACTCCTGGAACTGCTTTTGGCAAAATTGGGTGTCTATCGCTATGACGCGGTCTCCAGGGAGGGCATGCAATACGTTATCACTTAAATAAATCATATCAATATTATCACAGAACAATATATTGTTGAGTCAACGGGTAGTACTGTATCCGTTTTTATAATATCATAACAAATAGGGATACACATTACCAACATCATGTCGGATTACGGATAAGGTTTCATCTTGTAGTGTCCAATATTTCATACTGTAGGGATGCGGTGGTCCGTTCAGCTGAGCTACAGTACGTTTCACGAAACTAGCGACTCTGCAGTAGCACTTCTGGTGGTGAAATTTCGATGTTCCGCGGTTTTTTTGTAGTGTCGTTTCTGTATTGTTCTACGTCGGAACGTTGGTCAACCTACTTTCTCTTGCAGACCGCGCGCCTGCGCCATCGACCATCGATCGCGTAGTCGCGCTTTCCGATTAATATTTATTATCATTATTATTATTATTATGTATTATTATCATTCCGTTTCGTTCGTCGTGACTCGCTCTTCGCTCTCGCCGAACCGTCCGTCTGCGACCGATACCTGACCGCCATAATATTCTGCGTACATTCATTTCGTTCTAGCAGTAATTTCTTTGTTTTTCCGAACACGTTCGCGTCTTTCTTTAGCTTTTATCAACACCGTATTACGCGGCCACGGCTTAGATACCGCTCTAAGTATCTGCCGTAACGCCCACATTTGGTGACCTACTTTTTTTTTTAAATTTTTTACCCGTCTCAAGCGACTTTCGTCAGTCATGGACAACAACAACACCGTCGGTTTCATCAATGCCAACATGAACTTTTATCTGCCGATCTTCTGGCGTCATTCGCCGGCACATTGGTTCGTTCACGCGGAGGCTATGTTCACTGTTTATCGCGTGACGTCAAACATGGCGCGCGTTAACTACGTGCTCGTCGCCCTCGACGAAGATTGTATCCGCGCGGTTTCCGACCTTCTCGGGAGATACGTGCTCTACGATGTTCTTCGCGTCCGCCTCATCGAAACCTTCGGTTTGTCGCGTTCAGTGCATTTTCGCACTTTAGTACAACCCGATAGTCACGGCGACCGCCGCCCTTCGCAACTGCTCCGGGACATGCGTAACACACTGTCCGAAGGTATCGGCGAGCAGGCGCTCAAGGAGTTGTGGTTGCAGAAATTGCCGTCCAACGTACACGCGATCATTGCCGGTCAAGACGCCCCTCTCGACATTCTTGCTGCTCGGGCCGATCGCGTTATGGGGGCGTGCTCATTGAACGTCGACGCGATGTCCGTTTCTCAACGAATAAACGCCCTCGAAGGCGCTGTCTGTAAGCTCACAAAACGCGTCGACGCACTCTTCAAACGTCGGAGCTCATCGCAGTTGCCTTTGCTTTGTTCGCCGAATTCCACTCATGCTAATGGGCCATGCAATTATCATGTGCGTTTTGGTACAGACGCCAAAAACTGCCGCCCGCCGTGCAACAAGACGTCACCGCGAGCCCGATCGCCGTCCGGCGACGACACTAGTGTATCGTTGTCTATCTCACTGTCGGATTGCGATAATTATAATATAAAAGTTGAATTGTAATCAAATTAACAATATTATATTTTTATTAAGTGAGAAATTATAATTATCTTGCTAATTTTTTGTCAAGTAAATATTATTAGACATGATATTCAATATGTAGTCCCTCAATTATAGAGGTAATTAGTAGAGAGAACTAATAAAATATTAAATGGTAGTAAATTTAATTTAATTACTAAATAAATAATTAATTAAAAATTGTTATTAATTATAAAAATAAATTATTAATTTATAATAGGTAAATGCTTGGATAAAAATATTTAGTAGAATTAGATAATAAAAAATTTTAAATTAGTATAATAGTAAATAATTTTAATTTTAATCCTATTCATATTGAAATTCAGTTTGATGATGAAATTGTTACTAAAGTTTCAAAAATTAATATTATTAAAACAATGATACCATGATAAGAAATCACAGAATAGATTAGAGACTATCAAGACTTAATAATTTTATTACCTATACACGCGTTTGCTTTTTTTTCAACAAAATGGATTTTTAATAATCTATTTATATACTTAAATAAGTTCTTATTATATTTAATATTTATATATTTTTGATTTATCAGTATTTCATTTTATAGGGATTTAGTATCTATAACTATTGAAATGTATGAAATCAAAATTTTTAGAGATAAAAATAGAACTATTTAAATAAAATTGTTGAATCAACAAATATTAGATATCTATAAATAAATAGTTATAGATACTAAATATATACTTAGTAAAATACTGATAGGTAAATATATATGTATTAATATAATAATGCCTTATTAAAGTATAAATGTATTATTGAAATTAAATGTATTATTTATAATTATTAACCAATATTCTTTTACTAACACATAATCAAAGTTTAATCCAAAATAACTTCCTAAGATATTTATTGTATAAATGCTATATAGAAAGAGTACCTCATTTAGGATATTATATTATTTGTAGTTTTTTTAGAATAATGTCTTTAGATAAAATAATACATTTGTTGAACTGTAAATTTCTTTATAAATTGTGACATAATATTAACTGTCCTGGAATTCTTGAGCATTTAAATTTTAGATTAAACCAATCATGTTCAAGAAATAAATCATTATTTTATCCTTCGCCAATTAATAAAAAATACATAGTATACACCCCGGCAAATGTTATTATGGTCGCTGGTAATTCAATTTATAATTTAGATATATTTAACACTACTCAATTTTTCAAATATATTATTCAAATAATACTCTTTACTATCTTACATTATTTCAATATATCATTAGTTTTTAAATAATACTTTAGTTTATTTTGTACAATTTATTATAATCCATTAATTCTTGTATACATTTATTATATAAATAGTTTGTTTTGCATGATGATTTAAATGTATTAACTTAATATTATTATTTAGTATTAATTAGATTATTTCTTTAACCATGTATTTATAAACAGACAATTTATTATTTTGAAATTGGAAATTAATTTCCGTAAATAAAATTATTATTATAATACAAATTGTAATTAAAAACAAAAGTATACCTAAATAATTTCAATATTAAGTAAATAAAAAAAAAAAAGTACCAATGTTCATTACTGACAAATTATTCTAATAATATTTTAAGAAAGTAATACTCATATTTCTTAAATATTTTCTAAATGGTCTATAAAATATTCACAAATTATTTAAAAAAACATTTATATTTTCAGCAATGTACATCAGATTATTTTTGGTTCAAGTGAGAAGGTTACCTACTCTCCCAATAGGTATAATTTTTTTTTTATTATTCATAAATATTTGTACAACCAATGTTTGCAGACCATATTATATTTAGTTGTGAAGTCATTATAAATACATATTTTACATATATACATAATGTTAGCATCAAATGGAAAGTAAAACACTTATGATGGATAAGAAGTTTTATAATTATCTATACTATTTCCTAATGTACATAGTTATAGTTTTTTATTGTTCTCCGTCAATTTTAACTTCTATTGTATTTAATTAAATTAATTTACTTAAATATAATGGGTTAATCCCTTATATGATTATAAAATAAATCATTTTTAATTTTAACATTATAACCTTGATAATATAACTTATTGAATAATGTTAAGGTTATAAATATATAGAAGTAGGTCTTAATGTTATATGATGGTATATTGCTTTAATGGTCCAATCATTATAACGGTTACATAATATGAATTAATTTTTTTTTTTTTATAACAACTTTAGAATACTACTTTAGACTGTTTTATACAGTAGCATAGGATTATTATACAAATAATAATTCAACAACAATGATATCTTTGACTAAAAGCAGTTAAAGTGTATTTTTAAATGATTTTATGAAACCTATAAGTGAAAAAGAAATTTTTTTTTATTGATTTGTAATAATTTTAATAATAATTTTTCAAACAATAAACTTTTAAATTATTTGTGTAGTCTAAGTTTTAACATTAAACATGAATTATTTTTCCCATATTTTTATTTAAGTTATATATTTTTTTTCGATTATTATTTAAATTACATTAATATACATTTATCGAATATAATAACATAACTCAAAAATATTTAATGTCGTAGGAAAAAAATTTCCCCAGGACCAATTGTCCGTGTATAAAATTATGATGGAGGCCGATTGTCCGCATACAATATTTTTTGGTGGGGATCAATTGACCTAGTTCCAGATAATTTATGTATATATCAATATTCAGTACCACTATAATAACTAGGTACCAAATTTTAATGCAAGAATATAACAAAAATTACAGCTTAAATTTAGTACTACGTATATTTTCAATGATAATGAATACAATATATTAATATCAATATTTTTACTAGAATATGACCAGATTTGCATATTGTAAAATGTTACAATAATTTGGATGAGATCAAAACTAATAGAAAGTTTTAAATAATAGCATATCAAGTCTTCGAAAAAAATTAATTAATTTAAATGAACAGTGTATAAGAGGTATATTATGTTGGACTAAGGGCTTCTTGACTAAATGTTTGCTTTTGTAATTGTTTTTGGATAGGATACCTACTTAAATTTCCAATTATATACATAATATTATTATTTAAATATATAGTTACCTAAAATGTTATCTAAATTGTGTATTACATAGAATCAAAAAAACAAAACAATTTTATTGTGCCCTAACTTGTGTCATAAATTAAAAACTTTATTACTTATTATTATTATTATTATTTTTTTTTTTTTTAGAGAAAAAATCATTTTTACTTTTAAATGAAATAAACTACAGAAGCCCTTAACCCTTATTATGACAAACATAATGTTTAATATTACTTACAATGTAAACAATTAATATTTTTTATATAATTTGAAATAAATCGTTATTTAAAACTAAATCATAGTATCATATAATTTGTTTAAATATATCCATTGAATATCTTAGATTTTTACATATTTTACTCAGGACCACATGTTTTTGAATTACTATAATATACATGTTTAAAAACCCTTGTAATTAGGTAGGTATACCAAAGTTATTTTGTACAATAAATACTTTAAATCTATTGCAAAATATTATTTATTGTAGTAGCTAATCAACTATTTGTTTAACTGCTAAATGTTAATACAAATAATTATTTTTAACTTTAAAAAAAAAAAATTTGGCAACTGCCTAATTTGCTGAAGTGGGGCCATAGACTACTTTAGTGATAGACTACCGGTGGTTTTATTTGACGTCGCAAATTAAACCATAATTATTTTATTTATCATTTCAGTATTACAATGGCATTCAAAAAACTAATAATAAAAGACTATAATCTATTCAAAATAAGAAGCATGGTGAACGATCGAGTTGTGCGCACGGGCGTGGCCTTCACTCAGCGCGTGAAGCGCCTGCAATGCCAGCCCAGAGAGCGGTATTAGTATAATACCGACAGCTGACTAGCACGTTTAACTTAAAATGCATTGTGTAGGTACGTGTGGCGCGTCGTCTCAGCCGCCGCCGCAACTGATCAACGCGTAATAGTATACCGCGCGTTAATTCAAAACCTGCCGGTACCTATATTTAACAGTTGTATTATATCTTTTTCTACTATTATATTTCCCTAATATATTTGTTTAGATTTACCAGGTGTAATCGTACATAATATATATAAAAAACATTGTGCTTTTAATTGGGTACCGAAAAATATATTTATTTCCTAATAAAAATAATAAAAAATACAATACAAAATGTCATTCAGATTCTTCACTCGTATCTCCCGTGACAGTAAACACATATGGCTCAAGATTATCAATTAATTCATCCATAATGTCATCGACTATCCAACTTTCAATTCGAGCCACTTCAATATTGTCGTTTTCTTTTAATTTGTTGTGGAGAATTGTTCTGTTTGGACGGAATGGTATGGTGCATTATCCATAACGATAACAGAATTCGGATCTAGCCGAGGAATAATGGATTCAAACTACTCTTTAAAATTATCGCCATTTATTTCGTTGTGGTAATCGCCGCTATTTTTTTTCGACTGAAAACATAAGAGACCACTCGCCAAGAATCCTTGTTCCGAACCAATGTGCAGTAATATTAACCATTTTCCTTGCTAGATGGATTTGTCGTAACTGTTGCAAGATCCTTATTGAATGCATCATGTTTGGACTTCACTGTTTTGTCTACCCAGACACGATCCACACAATCGTCGGCGTTCAACCACGTCTCGTCCAAACAGTATTTTGTTCTTCCTTCTCTACGATATTTTCGAATTCCGTTCAAGTATCTGCGTCGCCAAATAATAAAGTCTTCCCCTTTTGTTAATACACTGCACCTTTTCCTCTTCGTTAATACAAAATCCAATTTTTTAATGGTCGTGTATACAGTGGTCCTTTTGAAGGTAGGAAGTGATGGATCTTCGTTCACTGCGATTAATATTTTATCGATGTTTGGTAGTTCATGCTTCAACCAAATAGAATACACCTTTTTCCGTAGTCCACTACGATCTAAATTGTCGATTCTATCGAACAGCGATTCTTACATCGCTTCGCATTTGGAGACGTAACAGTATTTGTTTTTTATACTCGGCAATGTTTTTTTCTATTGATTTACGACCGACACCCGTGGTGCGACGTAGATTTACACACAAATTGTCATTTTTTATTACTGGAGTTTTTTCAATTATGTCTTTGTATATATTCATTATAATTGTTTTCTGACGACTACTGATACGCTGTAACAAAAAACAATGCATTTATAAATCAAATTCACTAACAATGTTTTAGGTACTTACTTTTCCTTTTGGACTTTTTCTGGCTGGAGAAATAATATCCAAAACATTTTCTGCAGATTCGTCTGATAAATGGAATCCACTCATCTTACAAAGGATTGTTGAATAACTGTATATTAGAAGAAAAATTATAAATTGTGTACGAAAAGGCGAACGATGTTGTCACAAAACGAACACAATTTAAACTGAACGAAGTAGGTACACGTTTTGTATAGGAATTGTATTCGAAAAAGGCGCGACGATTACCTGTCGATTTTCAGTCGCTGGCACCACCGCGCACCGTCGGCTGATCAACCGGTGATTTACGAAGTGGGAGAAATAATGGGCGTGGCTATGAACGGTGGCGACGAAAACGTGTCGTCGCCGACTGTGTTTCTTGTTTTGAATAGAGTATAGATAAATTAGTCATAATAACTGATTTCCATTATAATTATAATGATAAAATAAAATTTAAAAATTTGATTATTTATAAACAATATTTTCTGTATAATATTTACCACCAACATGATATAGATTAAATATTGAAATTCACAACTCTTACAATCCCATGTGTATTTATCGTTAAAACAATTTTTCCAATTATTTTGAAAAGCCTTTGGCAAATCAAAAATTACCTTGCTTATGAAGCAACTAGACACAATTTCCTGTCAGAAAAGGTACAATACATTCAAGCAAGATTTCTGATAGAAAAATTATTTACTTGTAAATAAAATATATATATATATATATATCCAGGGCTGATTTTAGGACCCTAGGTGAGTACTATTTTGGCGCCCTATATTCCCATCCCTATTATAAATCAGTTTTATTATTATAACTTTAAATTTAAATTGTATATTTAAAAATAATTCTAATATTAAATGTATAACAGAATTATACATTATTATATTTTACTTTTTTGAACAAATTACATAAGATAATATTCTGTTTAGAATTATCAATTTGAAAACAATATATTTTACAACACCAATAAAACTTTTCTCATTTTCATTTCTGCAGACTCATTACTTAGCTCAAGTTTTCCAGTCAACTCAGTAGAGTATATTCTAAGAATTTTTGTCAATACAATTTTCTAAAATTCTATAATGTTGAAATGTATATTTATGTATAATAGGTACCTACTACCTACATGTGTATGTTGTATATAGTATAGTGGTATACAATAATGTCCATACATACACTTTTAATGTGATTTTCATAAGACATATTAAGTCCTTAGTTTAAATTTATATATTATTTTGCATCTAACCTAATCTATATACCTAATAATTATAAATAATAAATAATAACATTTTTAAACTATAACATCATAGTAAAATATATTTATAAACCTATGAGACTCATAAAACTGATGTATTTACTACGTATATTTAATAAAATAATGAAGTAAAAACAAAATTATTGAAATGGTTAATACTAGTAAATAAATAAATAAAAATAAATAAATGAATGCGTCACCTGGAGTATTATGGTAACTGTATTATACGACCGGTTTTGAATTAAAAACTTATTATCAGGTATAGGTATAGGTATTATAGTCAAAATGTAAAACGCCATTGAATATAAAAAATTAAATGAAGGAATACATAGAAATAATTTATTTTAATAGGAGAGATTATTATTATTTAAAATGAGTTATTATTAGACATAAGTATGTTAAGAAATATAAATCATTTGGTTATTGTTTATTATCTAAAATGTATTGACATAAAATATTATTAAAACTATTTTTCTTTATTTCATTGTATACTTGTAATTCTTCTAAAACTGAATAAATGTAAATGTCATTTTGAATATTTAATATCTCTATGTATGTATTAATATTAAAGTTACCTATCTATTTTCTAAACCATGTTTTGCGAAATTTGAATTAGGGATAATCTTTTTTTAATTTTATTTCAGAAATGTGTTCTTTATATCTTATTTTAAAATGTTTATTTGTCTTACCTGTATACAATTTATTACAGTTACAATTAAATTTATATATACCAGCATTTTCAAAAGAAGGGGGATTTTTTTGTGAAGTTTTTTGTTCTATTATTTACCCACATGTTTGATTATATTAATATTAGTCTTTAAAGCGATTTTCACATTTTTTGTATTAAGTCGTTGGACATATTATTTTGATATTTCAAATTATACAATAATTAACATCATTATTTGGTGAGTCATGTATTGTTATTTCTTTAATACATTTAGGACATTTAGGAAATTATTTCTATTTGCTATATTATAGATAATACTGTGCTCGTATTGATAATTATGTTTATTTAATGGAACACGTTCAAACCTATGGGTAATTACAATCATGTGGTATTATAGCATCAGTTTGTGTAGGTTTCCTGTAAATTCTAAAATAAAATGTATTGTATATTATAAAAACTGTAAGATCTAAGAAATTTAATTTATTATTGATTTGTATTTCGAGTGCAATTGTGTAAATTGAATGTTTCTATTTATTTTGTTTAAGTAGTTAACTAAATTTTCTGATGTTTCCTATCTTCCCAATTTCTCACTTACAACAGTACTGCTCGCATCCACAGTACTGCTCGCATCCACAGTATCAGCTCTTTTTTTATTTATATATTTATTTACAATATTTACATTTGTTTGTTGTATTTTGCATTTTAAAATGCCTCATAAACTTAATATGGTGCATATTTCATAAATTTTTGCTGATTTTATTGAATATTTCAGGGTAAATGTGAAAACGCACATAATAATTACCTATATTACCCAGTTTGGGCTAAAAATAAAATATATATTTTTAAAGGGAGGTACCCGAAGATGTATATATATATATATATAAGTATTAGGTTGTTAAAATACATTTTAATATGATATTTTGTACTTGTGTCAAGCCGTTAGCCGCTGCTGTTTCAGTTTTAAGTTTGGGTTGGAGGTGAGTAGTGATGCCACCACTCAAATGATATTTACTACTCTTCTTCAATTCAACACTGAAATTTATTTAAACAAATACTCCTTTTATTTATGGAATTTTTAATATAGCTTGCGATTTGAAAATCTAAACTAAGTACCTGGTGGTTTTACCCCCAAAATTAAGGGTGAAAAAAAATAACATAAATATAAAATTGTAGAGCAGCTTGTTTCTTAAATGTTTTAGAAAACAAATTCAGGAAAAAGTCAATTATTTCCGAAATAATGAATGTACCTACTTATATGGATCACCAAGTAATGCCTATTTAATTATTTTACCATAATATGGCATATTATATATTGTTGACAAAACATCACTATCAACTGAACTCCGCTCAGAATCGTTTTTTTGTTAGCAATTGTTAATCGTTGCTTACAGATATAGGTACATTAATTTCCCTTCTGTATCCTACCTTCCCAACTTCCCACCTACAACAGTGGCTGCACCCGTCCCCATTAGGACAGGCTAGGACACTAGGACAGCTTTTTTAAACATTTTTTTCGGTATAAAAGTTGATTGAATCGGTATCCGTTTTCGTTTAACTATGTTAAGTATACTAGGCAATAACGGTAGTATTATAGATAGGTTATCAGATTGTTGCAGTTTTTGGTTTTGCTGTGTGTGGTCTCTTGTATAATGTTTGCACATTTCCAAACCTGTCCGTTATATTATATCAAACCAATATAATATAATACCAATTTCCTAAATCGTATTATTATAATTATATTTTCAAAATCAATTAGCTAATAATAATATGCATAGTGATTAAATTAGTGTGCTGCAACGGTTGTTATTATGTTATTATTATTATTATAGAAAACTATACAAATATAATTTGGATTAACATAATTTTTTAATGGTACCCATATACACACTATACATCATCGGTGTACATGACCTGAATATTGATCGTGCTCTCGATTTAATCTTTTATATAGTACACACGTCATATTATTTTCAAATAATTGGTTGTTTGTTCGAAATTGCAATTTAATATTTTTTTTTATAGTGAAATATTTCTTAGAAAGAAAGTACGCGCTATAGGAATAATTACACTTGATAATATAGTGTTAGATAATATTTTATAGGTACTATTGCCTATCCTATAATATGTTTTTCAACGAAAAACTACTTCATATAAATCGTACCTAAATTAAATATTTGAAAACATTATCGTACAGATCCGTGATGAATTTGTACCTATAGATCGAACAATTCTACATCGTCATCATGTCTCCTAAGAAATCCTTCAACATTTTCTGTTTAGATTTAATCAGGAATTATTCCAATATTGCGATAATATTTTCGTTATGATTTTTTAAAACCGGCAATACTAAATTAACGCTATAAATCAAATATACTTGAAGCGAAGTATGAAAATTAATTAATAGTATAATTATTACTATTTATGAGTTCAAATATAATCGGAGTCCTCGGCAGGAACGTTACTTCACATTTTTTCACAGGATGCAAAACCAATATTAAAAATTTAAATCAATATCAAAGTCGCTCTGGTAACATATTAAGCACGAAATTAATACATTCTCACGTAAATCACTATTTTACAAGTATGACATAGATATTAAAATGTATAGGTACTTGATGAAATTAAAAACAAATTTCAATTAATTTCAAAATTAATTATTTATTTTAAATTAAGGAAACTGAAATTATACAAGAATTACCTATTGGCTATTCAATAAGTTTATTATTAAAAATAATAATACATATAAATATATTATATATTATAGGTAGTTATTATTGCTAATATTCACAATAAGTTAAAACTAATTCATATCTATAGTAAATACACTAATGGCTCAACAATACATATAGGACTTATATTAAAGGTATTCCAAATGGCTATCATAGGGCTTTTCCAGGCCAATAAAATTGGCTAAACATTTTTAGAGCGTATAGACCTTTAGTACCTACTATAAAATGCATAAATATACATACAGTAGTCACTCGGTAATTCGAACCTCGATAATTCGAAAAACTCCATAAATCGAACAAAAGGCTTAGTCCCCTGATAAAACCTCCATAATTAGAAGAAAATATATATATTCCGGTCCCCTCAATAATTCGAAATGTCTGTCGGAGGGACACACTCTACAATTCGAATTTTTTTTCCAAAACCTCCTAAATTTGAATTTTCTTAAACGCGATTATATGTATGTTTAAAGATTATATCGACGTTTTATTATTTGTTATTATTTATTTTATTACGTTTATTATTTGACGTACTCATAATGAAACTAATAACGATGGCGATTAAATACTAGCGTAGTTTATCGTACCTTACCTACCTAATCTAGACTTTAATCGTATCATTTTACCAAAATAAACCTCTGCAATAGGTAAACAGTTTTTGAAATTGAATAAAACGTAGTTAATCGGATTAGGAGTCCAGTAAAGTATAAGTGTTTGTCGATCGCCAACAAAAAAAAATTGATTGCGGCAGTTGAAGCAGGTGAAAAATAAAGATGCTGCTCTACGTTTTTGTATCCCAGCTTCTACGCTTAAATCAGTCAATCGGTAAAATGATGACAATGATGACGAGGAAAAGGAGACGGAGGTTCCTGTCATATCGTTGAAAGGTTTTCTTTTATGTCAGGATTGCGTAAATATTTTGAACAATCTGAAATGGACGAAAAAAAAGCGATACAATTTTCATTGCTATCAATCAGTTAGATAATACTATGGACCAGATTGGGCCAACAATTTATCGCAAAAAAAAAAAAAATAACAGATTTTTTAAAATGTAAAATATAATATTTCAATTTAAATATCATCAAATATTTCAATTTTATTTTGTATAATAAATAAATATCAAAATAAATGTGATACATACAATTTTCCACCTTTCTTTAATTGGAATTATTTTTTTTCCCTCGATTATTCGAACACTCGGTAAATCGAAAACCTCTATAAATCTAATTTTCAGCTCCGTCTCCTGAATTTCGACTAATCGAGTGACTAAATTAGTTAATAATTTAATATTATTTTACATTTTTTATTTTCATAATGGGGACAGGTGCAGCCACTATTGTAGGTGGGAAGTTGGGAAGCTAAGATACAGACGGGAATTTAGTGTATATCTATAAATAATGATTAACGAAAATACGATTCTAATTTGATAGTGATGCTTGTTTAATAATATACCGGCTTTCCTGTTTTTTCTACGTTTTTGCCGGTTTTCCCGTGTTTTTCCCCGGTTTTTCATATTTGCTGGGAAAACCGAAAACTGACCTCATTAAAGTATCTCCCTAATCAGATTTCCTTTTAGAAAAAATGCTATCATTGTAAATCGGAATAAAATTACTGGTAGAAAAGTTATTCACAGAAAAAAAAAGCCGTAATATTTTTTAATAAGCTCCTTCGCTACAATCAGAATCTAAAATGTATATATCATCTTTTATCTTTTTTATGCTTTTATTAATTTGAAATGTAATCCCAGTTTTGTGAAAGTTTTCAGGATTGTATTCTCTAATTATGTATGTCATTTTTAAAGATTTTCAATGTATTTTTATGGTTGTACAATTCATATCCCTAGTGATAATTGATTTACACAATATTAACCATTCACGCGGGTTCCATAATATATGTATAGTGCATTTCGTTGTGAAAATATATACGATTGTAGTTGTGCGGAGGTTTTAAATTTTGATAGTAATAAATTATAAAGAATAAAACACACGTACCCTATCATTAAAATTAATTAAAACCGAAGAAAATCTATGTAGGTGCCTAAGTACGTATATATAGGTTTATCTGAGTACAATATACCTAGGCAATATTAATACGGTTTCGTAATGTCGGTCTATAATTTTCTACCGCTTCTCGGTAAAGGTATAAAAATGATCGTCGGGAAGGATACCTATTACACTTACAATAATATTGTGTGTATACCGTATAATGCATAATAATTATATTTTGGTACCTGCCCGCCGGACCGCCACCGCCGCCGCCGTTGAGCAATTTGTTATTATCGGCAAATAAACGGAGAAATAATAATAATAAAAAACTAACCTCGTTACCAATCTTCCGTGAGCTTATTAATATTATTTATACATTATAATTGTAATAATATTACGCACGGTAGTATATATTATATACAGACATACAGTTATTAAATTAATTCGCGCTGTATATCCTACTTATATTACTACCTGTATTAATACAGGTACGATCATACCTATATAATATTAAAATACACACGCGCCAGTATATAATAAATTATGTATAAATATAAAAAAAAAATTAATAATAACATGTTATACTGCATAAAAAACAACGTAACTATTCAAATCGCTAATATTCCATTAGTATAATAAACCAAACGCCAAGTAACGCGTCTTTCACATATTTAGTTGCAGTTCCGTAATCGGTATAATATCCTTTTTGAAAACCCAAATCCGACACACAATAAATGTATAGATATTAATATAGTAAGATTACACAGGTTTATAAATATATTTTAATTCCTAAACTGTGTTAGGAATATTGAAACGTGTGTCCAGCACGGTACTGTCCTCGTTAGATTTGTTTTATGTGACTTGCGTTGCTTGATTTCTGTGCGATATAGACGTACAGTAATAATATAATACGATTATTACTTAAGTAAACAAGTGGGACCGTTTTTTGTCCATGGGTTATACTGTTGGCGTTTAAAAGGAGAATTACGAAGTAGCCTACCATAACAATAGTCGTATGAAGAAACAAAGACTTCTAGCGGTGTTCTTAGGAATTTCAATTGGGGAGAGGGTTTTGGGTAATTTCTAGAAAAATATGTAAGGGGCTATCAGCACACACCCCTCTAGTTATGACAATTCATATTATTTTAAATTCTGAGTGGAGATTCTCGAGAATCGAAATTCTCGTCTATATCCTACCTACCTAACTTCCTACTTACAACAGTGGCTGCGCCAACATGTGAAGTATGGTAAAATGATTACAACAATGTGCGTTTCCATGACAACAATGAGTGATTAAAAAAAGATTTTAAAATAATAAAAAATTAATAATAACAAAAAATAAATAAAAACGGTTGCCAATGACAACCTTATTTTTAATCGTTCAATCTATTTTATCCTAAAAAAACCAGGTTTTCCACATTATCTCGAATATTAATGAAAATTTCAAAAAATGACCTCTCTAACGTGCCACCCAGAGAACGTTTCCTTTCAGAAAAGGTGCTATACTTGATAATTAGAGTAAGCTTTTTAGTGAAAAGTATTCACATAAAATATTATAAAAATAATAAACATCACTGTAAAACCAATATATTCCTCGCTCCATTCAAAATCTAAAATGCAAAATATGAAAATTGAAAAATCGACTCCACAAAATTATTTATTAGATATTCAATCGTAAAATTAAATTTGTTTACACGAGTTCATTTTCTTTTAAATCATCATTTACATTATGCAAATAAATTTTATAGGTATATATATTTTAATTTTTAGAAATAATTTAAATGAGTTTTTGTAATAAATTGAGCTTTTAATATAAAAATATGTATTGGCCAAGTTTACTACTAATTGCCCACTTGAAGCCATTTTACAGTCAGTGGCATAGATATTTAAGGCTTTTTTTTTTTTAAGAAGTTTTTTGGAGGATACATTAACATAATTTAGACGACTAATTTCATTTAAATCATATTAAGACCACTAATATTATACAGAAGTTGAAATATGCCTTTGTGGGGGAGGGGTGGTAACCCTCAATACTCAACCGTCTTCCTTCGTAAATAAACACTGTTTACAGTTGTATTATATCCAAATTCGAGTTTGACTCAGTAGTCCACTATCCTAGAGGATAGTAAGCCGTTACCATTGGTTGAATTGTAAATTGGAGCCTGATAAGCGGTACCATTATGACGTTATATCTGTAAACTATTTACATACATATAAAATGATGATGAGGCGTAACAATAGACAATGAGACAGAGTCTACTGGCATTTAATTATTTAAAATAAATGGAAATGTGTAATTTACTGTAAAACAATTAGTGAACTGGTGCGTGGGGCTAAAAACGTTTTCATTTTAAAAGAAAACTATGAAGAGCCAAACAATACATTTGATAAGTTTTTCAATATGTATGTAAGTAATGAAATCCAACTATCGTTTCTTGTTGAAATACCTTAAACCCCGTCATAAATTACGGTACAAGGACTCTGACAGAATAAAAATCATAACGCAGCGGTTATCCGCAATATTATAATAACATTTATTATTTTATTAGACGTGATTCTTGTACAAATGAATGGACCGGATATAAAAAGGAACGCAGAGAAATGATTAGACAATGTTCATGGAAATGACGAATTTGAGTATTTACATGATTTCTTTTAAATTTAAATGTTATCTATTGAAAGATACATATATTATAATATATATTATTAACAAAATAAAAAGATAAAAATTATACACAAAGTTTTATTAAAAATACTAAACAATAATAATAATAATAATATTTATTTATCCTATATGTATATTATTATATATAAGGCACATTGTTTTTTTTCTTTTTATTAAATATATTTACAAAAAATAAATACATTTTTACAATATCAAAATTTTCATGCCTTCCGATTCGACCAAAAAACAAAAATGATGTTAATTTTTTATACGTAATTAAAACGCGTAGATTAAGGTGAATAGAAGAAAATAAAATAGTAGTGAATTTGAGCCTAACAATTAGGTAAACATACACGACGACATATTTTTATCGACGACCGTGCCTTCTTTATTTTTTTTTTATAATATTATATAATACAAATATGCGTCAAACAAATCCGTCCTCTGTTTTATTTCTTTTTACACGGCATTTACGACGGGCAATGGCGGAATAACCGTGACCTTTGGTTTGATTAACATTTGCGCTTTCTTCAGCGTGTAATCCCATCCTCTCCAACGGAACCACACGATACCTAAATATACCGGAACAAAAAAAAAAATATATAATTTATCGATAATAATATAAGTAAAAAGATATGTGTTAAACAGTTTTACGATTAAATATTATGGTAATCAAGCGTGCGCGAGTGGAGGTTATAAGTTATATACCCTTCCCTATTAGTTTAAAAATATAAAAAACAGCTATGAGTGTCTATCACGGTTATCTACATAGATTCATTTACATGTATTAAGTAATTTCATCTCCTAAATGTATAATATATATATATTTCAGCCAAATTATAAAGAAAAGCCTGATTTATTAAATACAAATTGAATTTATATAATTGGTTTTTAAATTTACATTGTCAGGTTAGTTCTTACAGGTACCTTTGGAAGAAGGTTATACCATTTATTATTTATGATTGTTATTATTCAAAATCCTCTTCTACGGTCCTCCATTTGAAAATTATCATACACGCCACTGATCGCAATGCATTTGAAATATGTATCAAGGGAAAAATTATTACAAGTATTCGTAGGTAGGTACCTATATGTACTTCAAAAATATATATTTTGGGTTATATAAATCAATAAATTTGTAAAAATTCGTTATTGTTTCTAAATAAAATATTTTATTTAATCAATTTTCAATATTTTCGTACACGCCAATGAAGACTAAAATTGATTTTTTCTATGGAGTATCTAACTACCAAAATATATTATAAATTATAAATGCTCCGTGTGAGTCACACTACAATAATTACTCGTATACATTATTACTTATTATAATATTATATTGTATAATACGTAATTATTATTATTTTTTTTTTATCTGATTACAATATTTGCAACATTCATACACCTAACGGTTATTATGATTAATTTAAAAATAGGTTACGTTAATGCTGTAGGTATTAGATACCCACCTAGATACTTTCTTCGTAAATATGACTTTCTCAAAAATAAATTGCTTATTAGTTGCTTTTATGCACATAAAATGTCTAAAAATTATAAACAAATGTTCACGCTTGAGAGTTTTAATTAAGTAGTACTAAAGCAATAAAAACTTGAAACAGGATGCGCGTAAAATATTGTTTTTTTTTCAGTAAGTGTGTGTATAATTATTATGCGGACGTCTCCCTTCGAATACATTTTTTTTTATATTTTTTCAACCAGTGGTCGTATCTTAATAGGATCGCGAAATCATAACAATTTACTATTTTCGTCATGATCGTTAAGCTGCCTATTTATTTACCTTGTCTCGCCGTTAAATCCTGCGGGTCATTTAAATACAATCCATTGAGTCCTCTGCCGCAAGACTTCCACCACCATCCTCCTTTCAGCATCGATGCACAGTTCAAACTGGATCTGTCGTTATCTCTAAAAATAAAATTTTTTTTACCATAGAGCCAACACACAAAATGATATTGTAAAATCATTTTCGTATTCTTGCAAACCTGTTGTACGTAGAGAACGGACTATTGTTACTTCCGTACCACGGATCGTTCAACGAATCTCCGGCATTTCCCTCGTATCCGTCAATCTCTAACTTGTAGTATTCAGATTCTGAGTAAATTTTAAAATGTGAATATTGAGCGTATCTAAAAATAAAAACGGACGAAATCAGTTTAACATTATCGTTCGAACAAACCATTAGTTTTTATTGGGAGGAGGGAGGGTGCTATATTATCACAATTTAAACAGACAAGTCCACTTAAATCCTACCAAACTCATTAATATTATAAACTACGTTATATGCCTCTGTGACAAAGGGTGAAAATCCTCTACCCCCTCGTAAATACACTGCTTTGTAGACGTATGCCCAACTGCGAATCGCGATGCAATATGTGTAAGATTTATTAATTGACATAAAACCTTTTGATTTTTAATTCGAATAATATTTTTAATTGTTGTATACCTATATAATATTAAAATAATTTATAGTTTATTAGTTGTATTATCCGATAATTGTAATGCGCGGTAAATTAGTACATAATAAGTATGAAAGTGACAACAAAATTAAATATCATAGATAATAATACGTACACCAATTGTGTTGCTTGCACATACTTTTAAAATGAAAATATGAGTTTATATACTATGATTAACTTGCATTTCACGATAAAATAGAAAAATGGGTTTATTTACTTAATTTTGTGGATGGTGTTGATGTTAATATATTTTAGACCTGTCAAATTTGAAAAAAATAAAAATGGAAAAAGGATTTTTTTGTTATTCACCCCTTAAGAAAAATTGGAAATTCTTAACATGGATTATTTATCAACGAAAATGTGACGTTTTTTATTGTGTTGGTTATAGATTAGGTTACTATTTCATAGAAACCATATGTTTTTCAGGATGAAAATGTCCTGTATCCTATTCAAAGATCTGAAGTGTAATTATATACCAAATTTTAAGAAAATCCGTTCAGCCGTTATGAAGCTGAGCGTTAAAAAACATAGATATAAACAAATGTTCATATTTTTAATATTAGTATAGCATAAAAATCCTATTATTTTTGCAAGTACATACGCCAAGCATACCTATAGGTACATTTTGTATCCAAAATATTGTTTTAGACGTTTAAACGAAATCATAATATACCTCCTATTTCCTTCGAAATCTTCTAATTCAATTCTCAACATGTATTCGTCGTTGCTGGTCAGCATGTAAATATTTTCGTTGCCCATCCAAAATTCTTTAGTCGGGTCGCCGAATCCATTTTTATAATCGGTCCAGTCTCTGTTGAAATTCTCGCGTATCGGATCGGCAATGTCGTCTCTCCTTTGAATCACCTACAACAAATAAATAATATATAATATATACATACACATAAATAACAAAAGTATTATATTAACAATAATAAAAGAATAAACAATTTTTAAATATTTTAAATAAAAAAACATATTCGAAATGATATTTGAAAATTACCGATAATCGTGAACATTCCGTGGTACCTACCTATAAGCGATATTAAAATATACTTTTTATCAATTACAGAAAAAAAATAAATATTTTTAATGTTTTATTTCATCCCTACATATGTATGAAAATGTTTTTGAGTGATATTAAAAATAGTCGATTAAAACGCGAATTGAAAAAAAATTACATTCTTAAATCATCCGGTAACTTTTAGTACGACAGAACTTATCTATATATAGTTTTTGAACAATCATTAAAATATTTCTCGGTTCTGAAACATTTTGAGAAATATCATATACCAATACCTTAATGTTATGTATACGTCACTGATTAGTTAATTTGTATAGTAACAGTATTAATATTTAATATTATAAACCGTCTAGTCTATATACGATTTTCTGATTTGTAATTTTAACGTGACAGGTTACTGACGTTAATACTACTATTATGATTGGCAATTTAAAATCTGTTTTATAACATTGAAAAAAAAAAATGCAATAGTTCAGACTGCACTACGTAATAACGTAAATTGCATTATATGACGCAGACCAGATGAGCGTTCTTCGGTGTGTTATAAGCATATTCGACACGTAAAAAATGATTTATTATACTTTCTCGGTTAAAATATACGATATACATTATTATACATCGAAGTATTAAAAAAAATAAAAAAAATACGTTCAAATAATAATTTATACAAATTTTTGATTTATTATACCCCTTATTGTTTGTGTACCTATATTATATACATTTGCGTTCGATAAAATATTTATTTTTTTTTAAAAAACTATTTACCCGACAATTATTATTATTTTAATTTTTTGAAAATAATTATTCGCTATTTCAATATTTGTATGATCCACAAACCGTATAATTTTATTGTAATCAAATAAGATTAATATCTTTGCGTAATAATTGCAGGACAGCTCCATTTTTCAAATAACCTTTTAAAGAAACAAGAAAACAAATGGTTTTAAAAATATTGTTGTCGTAATAAAATTGATTTTAAGATTAATTCGGCTACATTATTAGACCAGAATAAAAAAAAAAAAAGGCTCAGGTTTATTACTAGATTTAATTTCTACCTAAAACTTGAAAACTATTTATATCCTAAAATACTTTGAGTTGTCTTGTTTTTTGACCAGAATTATCTAAAATATTGTTTAATCGTGTTACAACTTCCACATCAATAATTGAATTTGTCACATTGCTGCACGGAAAATACGAGAATAATTTGTGGACAATTTTTGGTGCAACAATCCAAAAAATAAAGAAACGTTTTTCAACGCTCCTGTACTGTTTCAAAAAAAAAAAGTTATACGTAGGTGCAGTTATAAGGTCTTAATAAACGTGTACAAATAATCATAATAATAATAATACCTATATTATGTAATTATGTTTTTTGTTTAATGTACAAAAGTTAAATTCTTTTTCCGTCACAAATCACGAACTGCTTCTATTTCGTTTATACCTATATTACATCCTACCCGATAATCTATATAATCACATTTATCGCTAACGAAAACCACGTACTCGCGCCAATGTACAGGTAGGTAACTATAATTACACGATAATAACAAATACATAACCAAATAATAATTATTACAACAAACAACGTTTTGTGTGTGTAAAACCTAATACTTATAATATATTGAACAAATTTGTCGAATTTTTTTTTTCTATTTTACCCGGGGCGAGTATAATTTAAACACCGCGAACGTGTGGCCGCGGTCGTATTATAATATTATTTATTATAGAGAGGTGTGAAATTATAGCGAATGTACTTTTGTACTAGTGCAAGACTATAGGTAGCTCTTATTAAAGTATATATTCGTATAAGTAGGGCTGTCGGTTATTTTTTTTTTTTCACGATCGGTTATTCTTCTGAATAAATAAACGAAAAGATCGATCAATCGAGCTAAATTTTTCGATTTATCGAAATAATCAAATAGTCTTAGCTATAGGCGTATTTAAATTAGTTTAAATTTATTTTGACAGATTTCTCATAAATACATAAATTGTTTTATATTATTGTGTTCTCATTTATACCCTTATAAAAATATAAACGTTTCAGACGAGATTGCAAGAAACATTAAATAACAACTTTAGAAAACAATAAACTGCATTTGTTTTTTAAGATTAACTTTAATATATAATTGATTTAAATAAACAATTAACTTAAGAAAATTATTTTTAATTGCAATTTATTGGTTTTTTCGTTTCCTTCTTACATTCTTCTTTCAGATTTTAGATTCTAAGCGGAGTTTTGTTTTAAATTGGGGCGATTTCAAAGTAATAATGGATTTATACTTTATTACAAGGCTAGCAAAAACGCACACAAAAATAATTGCAATTCTAAATAAAATATTATGTGTAGTTTTAACGAATAATACTAGTAATTTCTTCGGCAATAAAAGGCTAAAAAGAGTCAAAAGTATTTTAATGATGAGCTTTTTTAAAGCTTCAAATATATTAATAACTAATTTTAAAGTAACGATAAAACGATGAGGGGAGAAGTCTGCAGGGAGTTTGGATCTAATTGAAATTATTTCAAAAAGCCCCCTTCTCAAATAAAAAAAGGTTATAAAATGCATTGCGAAAAAAAATGTTGCCTTAAATCCGAAACTTTATTTCCATTAGCAATTGTCTTGAAATGGTATTATGTGTAGGACTGACATTTTCTTAGCGCATTGGACTCTGATAAAATTTTTGATGAGGGGCGTTTATAAACTCTAATTAGCATTTGGTTATATTATTGCGATGAGAATGACGATGACGACGACGACGACATGTTTTACCGCAAATGGTGCGGAGAAACTATAGGTATAGTATACCCATTGACGTGAAGGTCGTCATTTTTTGTGCGGAGGTGTGTGATGATATCGAACGAATTTCGGACAATTAAAGACCGATTAAAATGAAACATATGTAATAAAACGAAACGGTTTTTTAAAAATCGTATATCAATAGCTGTAGTAGCATCAAGGTCCACGCGTCAGTCGGTCTTTCGGAAGCGTAAAAACAGCCGACATTAAATAAAAAAAAAAAAAAAATGGAACATTATGTCAATCAACTTATATCTACGTAGGTATTATATTATTCTGTTCGATGTCTACGACACAGTTTTTTTTTTTCTTTTTCTATGTCCTTACATTTAGATATATTTTAATAACAATACAAATAATACGCTAATGATAATAATGATAGTACGTACGCGAGCGTTTAACATAGTATAATAATATTTATAACATGTTAGTACGTATACATATAATATATGTACACTGACCACTCGAGACCTTGGACGGATGTTGATGATAACGATGTCGGGTGTTAGCAATCGCGCGAATTTTTTTTTTTTATCAAAATGTCCCTCTTACAGTCTCTTATAAAGCTAAAGCAGTTATAACATTATATACAAGTAGTTTTACAGTTCGTGACGGTTACATCATTCCCCGTCGGAAACCGTCGAGGTTGTCCAACAAATTATAATGAGATGTGTGTGTGTGTGTGTGTGTGCACAACAATGACGCGTGCCTGTGCATTATTTTTATTATTATAATATCGCTATTATCATATTATTATTATATTGTTTTTTACAGTTTATTATTATTATTATTATTATTTTTAGAAATGTTGTTTATTTGATAGTATTTGGAATATGTTAAGAAAAAAACTTACCGTCCAACCGCCGTCCGCGATCTCTTGTTCGCAGTAAACCTTCAGGTACCAGTAAGCCGTGCCACGGATTTGCAAATAATACACTCCAGACTGTCGCATTCCCGCGTTTAACAGGTCTAAACATGAAAATCCCTGAAAAATAAAATAAAATAATTATACTATATGGTATAGCTGCAGTATTTAAATATTAAACGACATGCCCTATGATTTTAACTATACACATTAGTTCCTAATGTAATATTGTAATATTTTTTAAGTCTATAAACGGCATTTCGTTCTTTTTTTATATAATCACTATCTGGAAAATCCGACCCTATTATAGTGACGGAGTTCTGCTGTTCATTGGTGTTTTTTTATAAATATGTATACAACAACCGAGTAACCATTGGATGCGGAGAAGACCAGATAAACAAATCTTCTACTTCTTCTTCTGGTTTTCCGGTGATTAAGATTATACCTATACCGCCAAACAAATTCTTCTCCGTCTCGCTCTATCCTCTGCTGCTATCATCCACCGCACATCCGGTTACACACGTTCCACATTACATATTTAACACAATTCTCCTAGCGTATATACGTAGTCACGGCATTTCCAATATCGCATACCGTTGGCCTGACATGAAAATAATTGCTTAGGAAATAAACAGATAAACGCAATTAGGGAAATTTAAATGAATACCCTTTTGGGTCGAATTCCGGGATAAATAGTGGTCTATATGTCCGTCTCCAGCGGTTTAGCAACAATTGGACACCCGCTTTCGCATTTATATTATTATTACTGATGGACACACCGTATTGGATTTTAATCGTGATGTATATCGAGCAGCAGGCACAGTGTATAATATAATTACTATTAACTATATACAATATAATTATATACGAGTCGCGTAGACATCTGTGTGTAACAGCAGCTTTATAATTAATAATACTCTACAAACAAAATTACATAATGCGTGCAATATTATGTAATTTTTTTTTCTATATATCTATCATTATGATTTTACTGGAAAAAAAAATAAAAGTTTTTGACATTTTGTCGTGGTTGTTTTGGACGATTAGTAGTCGACCACAGATAGACTAATGGTTCTCAACCTTTTTTGATGATCATGTCATCCTTATACACAACAAACCAACACTCCGTCGTCCTACCATCAAAATATGAATAAAGCATTGAAACACTAGGTTTTATACAATTTAAACTGTAGTTTTTTTTTTTAAAAAAATAACAATTATTTTATTAAAAAAATACAACACACAGAAAAGTTATTTTCATTTCTCTTCTCCGAGGATTTTATGTCACCTTTACGTTGGGTTTTTGTCACCCCGGTCGAGAACTACTGGAATAGGTCAAATGGGAATTTCTTGGTATAGGCAGCTTGATGGTAGGAATGTGAGAAGTAAAATAAATTTAAAAAATGATTGTGTAAAGAATTATTGTGATACAAAATATCCGTCTCTAAGCATATTATATCTTCCGGTCGATCTATACAATATACGCATATAGTTGGTCAATATTATTGGTAAAAGTTGACGTTTTATTTTCTCAAGAGAGTTCATAGCTGTCAAATTAACATATTATAATCCATTACATCGATCGATTAACCGGTGTCGAGTATAACACATATAATAATATAACCGAAAATGTATGCTATAATAATATAATATTCACTGATACGCTGTAGCAGCTGGTATATAATATTATAATCATATAAAGAAAATATAATGTATACTATTATTCAAAGCTGGAAAAGTTACTTAAAATGTTTTACTCTTTAAACAGTTAAGTTAGTTAAAAATTACCGATGCTATAATTCAAGTGAAAATAATAACTTTAGTCAGTGTCGCCAAACCCAATCTCCGCGTATGGCGGCCGCCATAGTGAATGAAATGTACGGACGGTATATGATGGTGTAGTGAAACAATTGATGTAGTTAAATATAGGCTCTTAAATATATAGGGGTGAAAAATAAAATACAGAATTGCTTAACCAAAAAAAGAGCGTGTATACATATTTATTTACAAACTTACATACAAGACTGAGAATGGATGGGTCCTAAACATGTATACTCGCTATAGTAAATTTATTATACTTTGACACCGCTGATTTGAGTTAGAAAATATTAAGCATGATTTTTTTTTTCTTTTTAATATCACTATACTAAAATCTTATTCATTCAAAAAACAATTGTTTAGATTCCGAGCGTAGCAATGATTTATCAAAAATATACATGTTATCTCATTTCAAAAAACAATATGGGTACGCTAAAATTTCTGAAAACTAGTTTAAATATTCCGTCTCCGTGCGTCCTTCCTCCTTTAAGTGGATAATTGAAGAACATATTTCATGTATCTTAAACAACGCGTTAAATTATTCAGAATGTAAACCGAATGATTAAATTTAAAGTTATCAACAAAAGTATCTTTAAAGCTCAGTGGCAGATGGTACACCTTGTAATTTGTAAAGCAAATATTATGAAAATTAAAATGAGGGGAGATATTAATAGAATACAAATATATGGAAAGATACATAAATACTATCAGAATTAAAAAAGGATCATTGATTATTATTTGTTGATTTTCTATTATCAGTAATAAAAATTTAAAAATATTCAGTATATATACATTTTTCTGAAACCTATAAATACTATATTTTAAACGAAAACTGTTATTAGATTTCCAAATATGACATTCATAATAAACTAGAGAATAGTTGCAGTATTGACGATTACAATTATAAGAAAATTGCAGATAAAGCATCAATCGTGCCAAATAAAGCGATTATTTGGCCACCAATGTTCAAACTATTAATTCTAACATTGTAACTACAAAATAGTTAGTTCCCTGCAACTTTGATAGTATTATTGATCGTTTTAATTGTATTTCATTAATTTATATTCGTCCCCCCTCGTCAGCTATTTAACAAAACAATGACTTATTTTTTTATATAACAGTTGCACTGGATCACGCAAACCGTAATTATTATTATTATATAGGTTGGGTCGGATTTGGAGATATGATATTATATTAGTATTATATAGTAGGTTAGTCGGGTATACACCCGATCGGGTCGGCTAAAAACGTAAAAGAAATAAGCCTCGAGTGTACAATAACGCAGTGATAACAATAATTATGATATAGGTAATAATAATTTTATATTTTGACATTTCGTCCATCGTTGTCGTTACTCGTCGCGCGTAACGGTTTTCAGTCGATCTAAATAAATATACGACATTTGTCGATTATGATCTCGATGTCTTTTTTCTAAACGTTATACGACCAGTCGTTCTCAGCCGGCCAACAGCTATATGATATAGTAGGCTGTCGTCATTGTATCGCGCCATTTTCAGCGCACGTATTTGTTTTACTATGCGAATCGTATTTTGAAATCGTATCTCGTTTAGTATATAGTGGCGCATAGCGATTTGTCGCACATACGACTTCGGACGACCTGTCCCCGTTTCGGACGTACCTACCTACAGCACATATATTTTATAGAAAGGAAATCAAATCGGAGTCTAAATAAACCGCGTCCTTCGACGATTTCATATAATGATACTATTATTATGTTCCCACGACGCGCCTTTTGAATTTAATAATGCGATAACCACACTGCACAAAATATTGGAAACAATATTATACTTGCAAACTTATCAAGAAAACACACGGATCGCGTCCCGACGCTTTTTGACGCAATTCGTGTATTTTATAGGGATGAGCCGATATCATTTTTTACGGTCGAAATAAACGATATTTTATAAAAAAATTATAATTAATCAATCATTTTAGCAAAAACCATTGACCGATATTATAATAAACATTATACTAGAAACAGCGGAAACCGATATCCGTTAAAACTGATATTTCATATTATTAATTATATTAACGTTGGTTATTATTTACCTGTTATGATAGATACTCAATGATACTGGTATAGTATACAGTGGTTTATGATGGTAATATGATATGTGATAACAAAAGGCTATTGTGCCATCAGCCTCACCAATAAGCAATTGTGTAAAGAAAAAAAGGACATAAGTCAATTGTTGGGATTTTTTTTTTATTATTTTGTTTTATGTAATTTTTTTTTAATTGTTTGGTCTTAACGATATAAGAGTGTATATTCAACATTCAATCTGTCTGTATTGAAAATTATACAAATTTTACTTGAACTCTTTTTTTCTGAGACTGATAATATATTTTGTGACTAAGAGACGATGTAGTTTCTAAAAACTTTGAATCAACAATACTATTTGATCTTTCACCAAACAATACCGGTTTTAAAATAATTACTCGTTGATAGTTTTCGTCATTTCGATTGTTATTGATAATATACAATAATACGAATTTGTCTATTTGTTTAACCTCCAAACGACATAACACAGAAACCGCAACTTGATAGGGGCCAGGGACTTATGGTTATATACCCGAACCAGATAACAAACCGATTGTTGAAAAATATCATGAATAGAGTTTATAGGAAACAATCCGTTTGTTTTCCCCTTGAACGTAAACTCACATAGGTCAAGATAAAAATATTATCGGTTATTATTTATTATTTTTACTATTTATAGATAAAAAACAAAAATCTATTTGTATATTTCGTTTCGATTCGTTGGGCGTTTCATTCAGTATTCATGACTTCCCTTCGACTGTTAATTATTAATTCATATGGATTCGAATTTAACCTAGTTATAACCTGCTGACAATATATAAGTAATAATTGTATTATTTCATTTCGTCTTCAAATTTACAAATATTTATCAAATTAAAAAATAAACCTTACTATTACAAAAGTACAAAGCTATACATTTTTGAAGATTCCGAAAGACTTAAAATAACTAAGTTTAAATATTATATTGAATTTTTTTTAAGTTTAAAACCCCGACATAATTCACGCCATGGATATGAGCCACTAAAGAATAGGTGGGAAATTTGAACGGTGTAGCGATGGTATAGAGTAATTTTACTTGTATACTGAAAGCAACGATAAATCATTTTAAAAAATAACGATTCCGAGCCAAGTAGTGTTAAGTGGTTAGTAGTATATTTTCCGCCCTTTTAGTCAGGGTATAATAAAAAAAATAAAATCTATGAATAGATATTTACTGTCAGTCATTTATAAATTATATAAAAATAATCTTGGGAATTTTTAAAATAAATTATTACTTGGGAAAAAATTCGTATATTTAAAAGTGTAGCGTGAAAAAATCGGAACTTTTTTACAAACTAATGTAGCTTCTTCGCTACACTCAGATTCTAATTATACAATATTTGTAGTATAAAATACAATAATTTTACAAGTGAAAAATATTAAATCGAGAAGCTCGTTATTCAGTCAATGTACAGTTACAGTATACCTATACGAAATATGAACTGATCTTTGTATACGCTTGTGTGTTATTATTATATTACTATATAAAATAAGTAGCTCAAGGATCGCTTATTAAAATTTAAAAACGTGGTAAAATATTGCTCTTATTGTATACCTATATTATTCTTAAAATTATAGTAAATATTTACTATATACAAATAAAAACAAATTTTTTTTTTAGGAAAACACAACAACATCGATCTACCTATTATATTGGTTTTTTCATCTGTGTGTCTATATAATTATTTATAATATTTTTTCCTCATTTGATATGATAGAGTAGATCCAAAAAAAGTGTTTTTTTTTTTTTTTTTTTAATGAATAATCGATATTCCGAATATTGTTATTAATACGTTCACCTAACCCGAGAAGAAAAGCGTATCGTAATAATTCTAATTTCAAGGTAATAATAATAATAAACGTTTATCTATTCACGTCAGTATCTGCAGTATGTATATAGTATAATATATAGTTTCTATCGGACTGTTTTCCACAATCATAATAAGTTTAACAGTTAAAAACGTGCCTGTCGGGTATTGCCCACGTTTTCCAATGGTATACTTAAAACCATATTTCGCAAGCCTGGCAGAAAAATAAGAGCAATATCAATAATAATACTGCTTCCATTTTGGTTACAACACGTGCGAGTTTCTTGTTGGTATATTGATTCAGTCACTTTTGTAACACCCACCGGTTTGTTAATATTATTATCAGTACAATACACGCGTCGTTGTACATTTGAAATATTATGCTGCTGTTTCCTAAAATACATCAGCTATCGTTATGTTCAGGGTATTGAGTAGAACCTTTGGTACAAGTATAAAGTGCAAGTACAATATTGTATCTTGTATCGCGTTACATTTATGGAAAGTATCGATTATATACTGTAATTAATGTATCGAGTATCTACGGATACTTATTTTGAACTATTTGACCCTGAATGGAGGGCAATCTGGGTCAATTATTTTCCCTTTAGGTTTACCAAAAATACTGTATAAATTGAAAGTGATTGTACAAAAAGACGGGGAACAGTTGGAAATTTGAAATTTGAAATTTTAATGTTCCAAATAAATAACCATCATCATCGCGTAGTTAATAATATATTGCAAAATAAATGCAAAATTGGATTAATATTTTAATTTAAATCGAATGTATAGAGAATAGAATATCTATAGTATTTAAATACAACGAATGTAAGTATATCGGTTATATTATATTGCAATACTATTGTTATACATAAGTATCTATAGTATCTTTGTGTCTGAATACTGAAAATCAAAGTATCTAGCAAGTACCGAGTATCTATAGATACTATTATTTTGAAATATCTTTCTTATTCCTGGTTATGTTATGTGTCAATATTATTCGCGTATAGATTTAAGAACGCCATAGTATGTTGTATAGATGCACGGTGCATATTTTGCTATTAAAGTTGGCATAGTTAAACAAGTTGAATATAGGAAAGTAGGAAATAATCAAGTGGAATGTTTTTTTTTTTAATTGGCCCTTAAAATGAATCATAACAACAGATAATGAATAAAACTACTGTCCAAATCGAACGAAACAAACCTCCTATCCCTCCTTTAACTGTTTGTGTGTAGTCGTATATTATAAGTCGAGATTTAATGTATAAAGTTTTTAAATAATACGAAAAATTGTAAATATTTAAGTAACCTCCTAACTGCAGTATACGTATTGTATTGGGTAGGTTAGGTTAGGTTTAAATCGATCCGAATCAATTTTTCGTTCTGTTTCGTTTCGCTTGTCGAAATAACTACCTTCCAACTAATCTGAGTACCTAATTAATGTATGCCCTAATATTCGAATCGTTTAACCTACGTACCCACCTTATATAAAGTAGTATATTCATTAAAAAGTCGAATAGTGGCTCGTGAGTTGTTATAATAATAATCAGAGAAAATATTTCCATCAGATAGTTAGTTAAATGTGTTAATTTAATAATAATATGTAACAACTATTATATTAATTGAACGACGATGGCGTTTAAAAATTACTCGAGTTTGCTCGAGATAAAAGATACGAAAATTCTCGGTATATAGTGGGCAGCAACTTATATTATACCGTTAAAGTTTAAATAGCGTTTTGTGCAACAAAGTAAATTATAAATAGCGATAATTACACACGCGTTTAATCTTACGGTAAATCTTTTACGCAGTAACGATGGCATAAGTAAACTCATTTTTTAACGAGCGGTATGTTAAAAAATAACTGAAACTGTTTTCTCATTTATACTTCATGTATAATATATACATACATTTGTTTTAAATTTACTATATTTACAACAATCAAACTATTTATTCTCACATAAATACAGTTATTGATTCGATGAGATTTGTATGATCTACTAAAATCGATAAAACGCGCAAAATTCAAAACGGTTTATTACAGAGTCGGTGAATCTGGTCCTGACACTCCTGACTTGTGTCGGCTTTTCACATCATATATACCCAGTCGCAATCTTCGTATCATTCTCAACTTTTTTTTCTATCCTATTTTCACCACTTTGCTATTCTTTAGTCTATATTATTTCTAATTTTGTCAACTATTGAAAAAATACCCAATATAAATGCTCTGCTACTCTATCTTAACTATAATGTTTTATTGTGACTCTTTTCATGACTCTACTCATCCACTTATAAGCATTTTCGCTCTACTATACTCATCGCCTACACCCTATATTTTTATATACTCTGCAGGTACACTGTAATAAATATAATATAATGTTGGTTCCTAAAATAAAATTAGTCTCACCTTTACTTCGCGGTTGAACTGGTCGGTGAGGAAACTGATGTTGGCCGGCGGCGGTTTGTTTTTGACGCTCGGGAAAACCACACCTCTGTTCTTTTGTGGTGCGTTCCTGGACGTTTGGATGGACAGCTGGATATCGGGAGGTGGACCAGAAGTCGGACCACCGGGACCGCCGACACTAGTGGGTGTCGTAAACGATTGCGCTGATGCAGATACCGCAGCGGGTGACGTGGACTCAGATAGCTGTTCGTCATATCTGCCGTACTCATCAATGGTCGGGTCTAGCCGAAGAAGTTCCGCCGGAACTGGACGCTGAGCCAGCGTAACCACGTCATCCTCCTGTTTCTTTAGCCTTCGTTCCACTACGTCCAGGTTGGCGATGATCTTGTTGGTATTCATGCGCAAATCATCATGTATGTCACTAATGGCTCGCTCCTGGCGTTGCGTTTGCGTCAGCAATTCATCTGACTTGGGCACCAAGTCATCTACTGAGCTCTTGGTGCCGACCACCACATTCCACACCTCGTCCATTTTCTCACTGACACTCAGTATCGGATGCATTTGTTTTACCAACTGATCGATCTTGTTGGTCCGTTCCGGTGCCGGCGTCGTTGTAGTTGTTTTATTAGCGGCCATCGCGCCCGGTCGTCCGTTGTTATGATCTTGTTCAACGATCGCACCGTGAACATCCGTTACCATACTGATTATCTTTCCTAGTCCGTCGGACACCATATTTATGTGGAACTGCAGTTTTCTATCGATGTTAGCCGTGTTGCTTCGGATCGTGTCCATTTGGGTGTTGAGTAGCTTGGTCACGTCCAAGTGGTGCACGTTCACAGGTTTCTTCTCACTCGCTTCGGCGTTAATGTCATCGGCAGGCGCCAAGAAATTATTGTCCAGCTGACTCTTCAGACCGACCAACTTGGTGTCAATGTCGCCTACTTTTCGGTCCAAAGTCGTCAACTTGGTCTCAAGATGGTGACCTAAGGTGCCCGGCTCCTTTTGGAAAAGTTTCGTGTCCAAGGATCGCAATTTACCGATCACAGCTTCGGTTTTGTCGATGTTGTTGGTCACTCTGGAATCCAAGGCTTCCACTCGGCGCATTAGGTGTTCAACGGCCTTGTCAAGATTTTCTATTCTCTGGAGTTTCGTCTCTAACGTGGATACGATAACTTCGAACACATTAAACAAGTATTGTTCTCTGCAACAAAAAAAAATAACCACCTACATTAGTATAAAATATTCATATTATTTTAGTGTACAATTCAAACATAAATATGAAAGGATTATATGATTTATTTTCATACAAATGAGTAACATTTCCTGGGAAAAAAATGTATATTTCGGAGTGAGTGTAACACTAACAAGACAAATCCAATTTTCGAAATTGTTCCGGAGAAGGAAAAATATTTTGTACAGCGTTTAAGTTCAATTTAGGCTAGATTAGATTAAGCAAGGTGAAATAATATTAAACATTTATTATTAAACAAGCATATAATCATCAAACATAAATATAATTACTACAGTATGACGAATGGTTATTTCAATTAAGTCCACGGACTTGTCTTTTATTTGCCCAGAATTTGTTGAAACACCACACGACATAGGTAGTCACGTCCATACTACTATTTTTTTTGTACCTAATAGACGGACTTGAACATTTTCGTTTCACTAGATTATATAGTGCAGCGGTTCCCAAACTTTTTTAATTCAAGCCTCCCTAATAATAATAAAAAATTGTTCACGCCTCCCGCAATGAATGTTTAATAAAATAGGTTAACAATTATTTAATATTTATTAGTTAACAGTAAACTTACTATTTTATTTTATACAAAATAATTAATGCGAACAATGCGCTTGTNGTCTGGACCGATATATTGATTTTAATACGGTTACTGTTGAAAGCAGTTTACCTGTTTCACACAAATACGATGTGCCAAATGGTATTATTATACCTAAAGCTTTGTTGCTAACATCAGGATATTCGTCTTTAATACTGTTCCGAAATTCCATAAGTGAATATGAAGAAAATTGCATTCGTAGTGAAGAATCGGATGGATAAGATAAGATAATAATTGATCTAAACATAACTATACGTGTACAAAATTCTAACCGCGCGCTGCGCCTCCCTTGTTTAGTGCTCGCGTCTCCTTTGGGTGGCGCGGCGCACAGTTTGGGAACCACTGATATAGTGTTTATTGTTTTATTCGAAAATATCAGAAATTTGCCTTATTTTTATTGCACCGATCCCTTAGTACCTGTATGAGCATTTGATCGGTATAGATTTTTTTTTTTTAAAGAGAAAATCTCCTTGACACCTATAGTTCTAAAAAAAAAAAAAATAAGGATCATTACATTATGCCGAGACCTATCGACACCGTAGATATATAGTAGAGACACGTACGGCGTTTGATAATAATTACGCAACCGAAATTCATTGTGATACCTATACCAAAACTGTTTTCACGTGCGGTTTCTATATAATATTCTACCGAGCGACAATAACCCAATTTTTTGAGGCCTACTACTGCCGAATACAAGCACCTTTTAATGAACACGACGTGCATATATTGCATTTTTAATATCGTATCGATAAAATCGTCGGGCGTCGTCTTTGCTGCAATATGTATGCACGAACGGTGTTATGAATGGACGCGCACGGATTACCTCGCGTCGTATACAATAATAATATAATAGCGTTATAGTAAACCAGTTTTAATTCGTTTCGATATCCTATGGGAGTTAGATAATCACGACGACAATAATATAATATTGCCCTCGTGCACTTTTTACAACCTGCTGTGATATAATGCGATATACGTTGTCGTCTTCGGAACCGCACAGCGTCGCCTATATGATATTATTATTATTATTATTATTATTATTTTATTCGATTGAAAAATGCCATCAAGCTTGCATAATATTAATAAAATGCAGGTGCATTTAATTTAACGTTAAACGGTTTAAATTGAGTTCAAATGAAAATAATTGGGTATACGCTATATATATATACATACTTTTATAAATATTATTACAGGAATAAAATACTAAAGTTGATACGGAATATTATTATATTTTATTTACAACGATATCGATTTTGATTTTATTAATGGAAATATTTATAACCGCCACAAATAAGATGAAGAAATGTCTATAATAATTTATACAGATGTATAGAATTGTCGTTAAAATATTTTTATTAGTTTTTTTTTTTTAAATAGTACATGGAATGTTTATTTCCAATCCCTTCCCGTTCACGGTTTTCTAAAACTTTCATGATACTTCTAAACATGACATCAAATTAAAATCATTCAAACATCGGGACTTCCGTAAAACACAATGTCATTATATATTATAAACTATCGAGTAAAGCATTTTGGACGGGAAAATAGGTTCATTATAAGTTATACTATATTACGACTAATGTATATAATTTCTGAAGTATATTATAAATTGTCACCGTACCTTGAAAAAAAGAAAGTGCACCGATTGACAAAAGAGAAAATTATAGTTATTTTTAGTAAATGATTTATAATTTTAGATCCTGAGCAGAGCGAGGAATTTATATTGGTTTTATGTGTGATCTTGCTTTTCTTTTTGTATTAACGCGATTTTTACCAGATAAGACTCACTCACCTTAAATAGCCTTAATCTCCAGCATTATCTACACAAATAAATTTTGATTAGGTTTTTTGATATCGTTTTTTTAAATTTCTTGTACTTTTGCTTAATAGTATTGAGAAACCAACAAAAATTACATTAAACGGAAAAGAAACATTATTACTTACGTGAAATCGATTTTTTTTATTCGTCGTAAGTATAACTCAATAAAGTATATAATGATCGTAGGGCTATACCTATAATTTTCGCCAAATACTTTTATTGCCATATTTTCTAGACACGGTATAATTTCAAATGTATTTTTGGTTCACTTTAAGTTGTGTGTGTTTTTTTTTTTAGTATTTATCAATTTATAAGGATAACAGTTTTTATAGTTTTCCTATAAAAAGATCGAAAAATCTATCCTATTATAGGTTCAAATTTAAACGAGTATTCGTATTTTATTGTATTTCAAAACAAAAAAATTACATTTGTTATAAGATTTTAAATTTGAACTAAATATTTTACAAATTATACATTTTATACATGTATATAAGCATTTTTTTTTTTTAGTTTTTCAACGTGTTTTGTATAATTTTGAGCTAGTTATATAGATATAGGTATTCGTGTTTTTCAATTTACTGTACGGGTAAACTATATGCATATATACTAGTATAAAATTCAAGTTTTCTAAACGTGAACATAGGACTACATAAGTATAACACACCTCGCAAAGGAAATAACAGTCTATCGTCCTCGAGATTTCGTGGCACGCTCTGCAGCGTTAAAGTCTCCGGACCATGTGCGGCGTAAATTTCGGAAAAAAAACTTCGGTTAGACCGGATGGCATAATATCGCACAAAACTGGTCTCTCCTCGGGGCGATCGTAAAAAACACACTCTTGTGTATAATATAATCGCAATAATACGTATAATAAATATCGCGCGATGGTCGTCCGATAAGCCGCGTGTGCGCGAGATTGCCGCGGCAGTTTGCGTGCACACGCGAACTATCGTATAATATGGATATATAATAATAACAATTTTTTTTTTTCGCAATGGAAAATATATATTTATTATAAAATACAATATAAAATAGTAATAATAATAGAATAAATAACGATAACATGTATACGAAATTCGATCGCGCGACTCCGCCCGAACTCGTTCCATTATAAACGGTTTCACGGATGTGTATACATTATAAACACACAGAAACTTACTGACTTACGATATACTTATAATATAATGCAATTAATATCCGTAAGTATATATTTACATTGTAATGGTGTTTTCCGGTCGCGCGCGCGCGTGCTACGGCAGTACTGCAGCTTCCCGGCGTAAATTTCTGCTTCAGAAACCCATTAATACGTCCCCACGAAAAGCGTTAAATAGTACATCTAATAATAATTATTATTTTTACTATAAATTACAGAACGAGTATGCATTTTATGTATAAGCGATATAATTTAGCGAGCGTTGTATAGTATATATATATATATATATATATATATAATATTGTATAATATGGCAGCCTCGCGGTGGACGTTGCGCGTCGGGAATAATGACTGCAGCATTCAGGTGTAAACTAAACCTAACCTAACCTAACCTCAATTGACACGTCGTTCGGGAAGTTTGGCGAGAACAACAATTTTACTCCCTATTATATTAAGCATTGCGTTTTTTTTTTCTGGTTTTTACTTACCGCGACAGATACGAACGCTTGAATTTATAATATGAATAAATATATGTACGGCTGAGAATTTTAACACGTCGACAAATCACGCTCTCGCCATAAATCACATAAATCCTATAATATTATAACTCTTAACGAGATGTTACGTGTGCATTATGGTTATACATACTATAGTAAACTTAAATATTTTCTCTCGTAAAAGACTATAGCAATCGTGTATTTATACATTTATTTCTATTTTATGCAATATGATTATGGCCAATGTCCGAATATTGGGAATAAAATAAAGATAGACGCTAGTTTTAGTTTAAAATTATCGTTGAATACCAAATAAATGTTACATTGGTCGGCGATCTCATACACGCAAAATAAATTAAGTAATTGAATTTCACGTAAAATGAATTGTTAAGTACTCGTAGGTATTAATAAAAAAAAAATTTTAATTTTAAGATACCTCTAGCTTTTGGGCGTGAGAAAAGCGATCAAAAATTGACAATTTACCAATAAATTCCTAATTTGTAAGGACGCACAAACTTACATTTATGTGGAACTTTTGTCGATGTTTTGACATTTTTTACCCTTCGAATCCAGATCACTAACAGAATTTAAGTTTTGGATAGCAATAATCAACATATTTATGCATTGAAAATAAATATAAACCTGCCACTCCGTCCACTAGCATCCCTCCAATTCCAACAATATTTATAGTTCTATACCTGAATATAACAATAAACCCGCGAATTTTGTTAAATCGCGGGTTTATTTGAAACGTTGTTGTTTTTTAAGCGATTTAATTTTTATCAATACACATAACAATAGACGAATGAAAAACAATTTTGAGCAAAGTATTATTAGTACCTAAAATGTTTTACCTTACGTTTTTTCAGTTCATGATGAAAACTACCAGATGACGAAAAATATGAAGACATACATTTGTAAATGCGAGTAACTAAAAATATTTTTATTTAAATTAATATACACAAAAATATGCGGACAGGCTCGAGGAGAAAATAAATAGAATACATTTTATGGTTTTTCTACTATTATAGTCACGCCTACATTTTCCACTGAATATTTATCTACAGATTTTTGATAGTCACTGATTAAAATTATTTATGATAAAAACTTACTAAATAAGGATTTTATATCATTACACTGCAAAATCTAATATTATATATATATCACAAGTGTAGTAATTGTTAAATATTGACATATTTTTTACACACGAATCGAGCAGCATGTTTCGGGTGGTTTTATTATATTATTATTATAATAAGTTTTGTACATTTGTACGTCATGGATTTTTTTTTTTTTTTTTTTAAGTGTTTTTTAGGGAATTCGTGTTTACCGCAAGTGGAGGTCGTTATGTAAACATATAATACATATTATAAGTACTACTTATTACACGCATTATATTGCATGGAACACAAAAGTAACTTATAAAACTAATAGTACCGTTTCTACTACACACCACTTAATACCCGCATACAAATCATAAACGACCTTAATGCAATAAGAATAATACTTAAAAATATAGGCCAGTTAAAAACTAAAATATAATATTATCGATTATTCAATAACCGCGCGCGGTAGGACTGAACTTGTTTTATTTTTTAATGTGTGATATTTATAAATTATTATTATTATCTATGTGTATTAAATAACGAGCCATAAATTATGTACTTATATCAATTAATATTATATACGAGAAATACTAATTATCAAGGTTGTTGGGAATAATAATTGTTCACAAACACGTATCTATATCATACATATATAGATTTAAAAGATAAATTATATTATAATATTGCATGAACAAATTATTGATATTTGTTCTTATATAGTAACGGCAGCCTATTTATTATATTTGTCGAACAAATCAATGTATTCATCCATTTGTACGCGTACATAATAATATCATATCAACAGTCAACACATTATATATATTATAATGATTAAGTATCTTATGTTTTAAATCCATTCGGCCCTATAGTATATCCATAAAGGTCCATATGACATATCTTAAATATATTTATCGTCAATATCATTATTTGTATAAACAAGTGTTTGTCACTTTTATACATTATTTTAACACTAAGAACAGTTATAATAGTAATTTTTAATTTTAAACTCTACAATCAGCCAATCAATGTATACATAGAACTAGTACTAGTTACTAAGAAAAATGGCAAACTTCAAAAAAATAATGGTTTGCGTTTAAATTATGGTTTCGATTGTACAGAAACGATTTTTGAACGCGAAAATACTTTCGGATTTAAAT